CTCATTCTTAACCCAGTCTTTGCAGTTTAAAGAAACCCAGGAAGGTTGGATTGATTCTGCCTTGGGCTTTTTGATTGTCCTTACTTAGCCTTAGTACTTAAAACTTGCTGGTTCCTCCCTCCAGTCATGAAAGTACATTGTGAACTATTTGCTTTCATTTGTTATTATGCAATATTTACCAGCACTGGGAATGTTCTTTACAAAGCACACAGGCCATATTCCAAGATCTTTAATTAAAAACATTAGTTGAGAAGCAGGCAGAGTTACTACTGATCAGTGATGAAAGTTTGTCAAAGGCAAAACACTTGATAGGCTCTAAATCTAGCTTTGTGTAGTCAGTTAAATTGATGCAATCTGCACATGGAGTGTAACACATTGCCCAATCAACATGATAATAGTGGATAATCAGGGCAAGGGGTTTCAATAAGAAATACAAAAGATAACAAAAACTAATCTAGGAAGGGGAGGACTTCCCAAGAACATGCTGCAGGATATGACAATGCAATTGAGAGTGACAGAAGTGAATAAAGACAGTTTCTGTGACACACTATTTTTCTAAGGATTACTGTAATATTGTATAAAAAATGAATATCTCTCCTAATTAATGGACCACAGTAACAGTTAGAATAACTGTGGTGATAAGATGATCTGGTTTATAACCACATATATGCAAGGCATAACTTTAGTACTACACAGAAGTTCTGTTAGACTTACTTAACATGCAATTATAGATCCAGTAATGAGATTCTGATTTGCCTACCTTTGCAAAATAAATTTGAATGGTTGTGTTTTTTTATGCCAATTGGACAGTGAAATATTTTTTCTCTCTCTAACTAGGTCAAAAACATTTCTCTAAAACCTAAACTGAATGTCAATTTATTTAATAATATATGCAGAATTGATGACAGGTGAAAAATAGAAATCAAAGTAACTAAATTTCAAAATGTCACTTTGAATGATTCTTCCTGAAAAGAAAAGAGCAATTACTTGTATCTTAATGTTCTTTATTACGTAGCTAGCTCTTACCCTTTGGTTTGGCTGATTAATCTTCTTAAATCACATTGCTAAGCAGAAAGGAAGAAAAGTAAACATTGTGGCATTTCCATGACACATCTTCTGGATGTGAAACTTTACATAAAATATTTTTCTTTTCCAGTTTTCTACACAGATGAACTAATGCTAGAGATGAACTAATGCTAGAAATTACTTATTTTTGCTTCAGATAAATGTCCATGGCAACAAGTCTTCTCCCACTATAGGAACATAATTCTTACAATGTTTTATTTCATTTATCTTCTTTCTATCCAAAGTTGTTTAGAGGACATAAGGATAACCTGAAAAGCTTGTTCATCATCAAAGATGTTTGTCTCTAAAATTGCATAAGAAGTGAAATGGACAGTGGGTGCATCTACACATGCCATTTAGGCAATGTGATAAATTCCAGTGCAGTTCACACTAGAGAAAATTGCTTCTAGGAGCAGTATTTACACTTCAGCCTGGGACTGCAGCACTTTGAGCTAGGGAAGAGCAATCCCAGGCTGGCAGGAGGTCCTGGGGTAGGGGTGGGGGTCGGCCCCAGGCTCCAGGTGGCAGTGTTGCATGGCCGAGGGGCTAACTGGGGCATGAGGGTGCTAAAGTACAGAGCTTGCTGGCAGGCAGCCCCTACACTTCAGCACCCTTGTGCCCCAGCCACTCCTGTCACTAACTACATGTGTGTTTTGCAGGAGTCAGCTACTCTGCCATAGGATACTACTG